TTACTTTTCAAAGCGCTTTCACAGGCTGGCTGTGGTCACTGAGAGGTATTAACAAGTTAATTTCCCTTGAAAGTTTAGATGCTCCTTAGAATGGAGCTAACTTCTTGGGAGACACTCTCCACCACTTGGCAGCTTTGTGATCTTGACTGAGAAGTTTTTGAATTGGATGAGCCTTAGTTTCCTCATCTGTAAAATGGGTACAGTGATAACCTTCTTGGGTTGCTATAATGAGTCCATGAGAAACAGAATATGAAATAACTTTAGGAGACCAGCAGATGGCGTGATGGTTACATCGCTGGATTCTCACATGGCTGACCGTGGTCTGGGTACTGGACCTGGTAACTTGAAACCCACACTGGGCGCGTGTGCGTGCGTGGCCGAAGTCCTAAGAGGAGAATGGAGGAGAAAGGATTGTAGCATGGCCATCCCCCCCGGGGTAGTGATTTCTCACTCTCTGTCTGTCTATCTTTCTTCCTGTTTCTCCAGTGAGCATGCATACTCTATAGCAAAAATCTCTCTTAGAAAAAGGAAAAGAAGGAAACTATGAAGCCCTATGTTAATTTGTTAATGTTATCTGTTGTAGAATCTCCCTTGACCTTCGAGTAATGGAGTCTGGGGGGAGGATTACAATGTAACTTCAAGTGACAGAATAGGAAACTGAGGCTAAGAGGTTAAATGGCCTCAGTGAGAGCTGTCCCTTGTAATGTGCTCTGTGGGAAAACTGTCCCAGGGAGAAACTTCAGAGTGACTTTGTCAAACCTAGCTCTGGGCCGTCAGCACAGTGGTAACTGGCTCCTTCTGTGGCAGCTCTGGGGGTGGGTGTGGCCTCTAAAGCTGTGTTAGGGTGTTGTCAGGGCGAATGAGGGAACATGATTTTACAGGCTGTGGATGGTGGCGGGTCTGGTTGAACCTGCCTGGCCAGTGGGCACCCCAGGCCTATTGTGGATAACCCCAGACTCCTGGGCCCCAGCTGAGCCCACGGTTCCTAGGAGCCTTTGGTTATGGAAGGAGTCCTGTCACTGTCCAAAGGTCACTGTTTTTCCTTTACCCAAGAAGATGAAGGTCCTTGCATACATCTTGCAGACGAGGCTCCCTGGCAGTATAAGGAGATGACTTTGAGCCCAGCCCAGCCCTGACCCTGGTATCGAGCCAATTTTTTTTTTTAATTGCCAGAGGACATATACGTTCATCAGAGAGAGACAGAGGACAGGAGAACCCACGATGGGGCATGGTGATGCTGCAGTCTTTTCTCTTCCATTTCTCCATCCTGTCAGGATTTGGGGCGTGCACACACATGTACCAAGCATGTTTTTCAGGCCTCCTGGTCCAGTATTCGAACCTCAGTCATCCATGTAGAATTCAGCTCCCTTACCACTTGGTTACTGGGCCAGCCCAAGCCAATATTCTCTCCAGTTTTCCTTGACCACTCTGTGTGCAATGTGGGGGTGGGGTAGAGAGCCCCAAGAGACCATGTAGTCTTACAGGCTTTGTACGGTTTCATGGAAGGACTTTAGAGGCAAAGCTTCCCCATTTTTCTTCCACTGAGTTTCACTTTTAGCTGGCAGTTTTTGGAGCTATATAAGGTTTTGCTTTAATTAACCAGAAGTTTTGCTTCTAAAGAAAAATATAAAAACCACCAATCTAATTCAAACAATTCTTTTTTTTTTTTTTTTTTTTAAGAGAGGTTTTTGCTATAGGGCGTGTGCGCTCACCAGAAAGAGAGAGACAGAAAATGAGATATCGCCCCCCAGGGGGATGGCTACATCGCAATCCCTTCTCCATTCTCCTCTCGGGATCTTGGGCACGCATGCACACTCACCCCACATGCATTTAAGCTGCTGGGTCTGGGAGTCAAACCATGGTCGACTACATGGGAGCCCAGTGATGTCACATTTACACCATCTGCTGGTCCCAACCACTATTTCTTACACAGCAAGGGACTGAGGCCCAGGTTTTGGGTCATATAGAAAGAGCAGAACTGAAGCGAGGTCATCTTTTCAGTCTTCACTTGAGAATTATACAAGTATAAAATACTTATGTGGAAAGTTATATTGTCCTGCTGGAGGAAGAGCCTCCATGCCAAGACTTTTAAATAGCAGCTGGGAGGTTGTTTTGTTTGTTTGTTTGGCTGTGTTAATGGCCAGTCTGGTTGTTTTTTTTTTTTTTAAAGATTAATTTAATTTAATTCATTGTTATTATTATAATTTAGAGATTTTTGGTATAGGGTACATGTACTCACCATAGAGATAGAGAGACAAAAAGTGAGAAATCATTCCTTGGAGGAAGGCCATGCTGCAATCCCTTCTTCTCTAGGGATTTTGGACATGCACGTGCATGCACCCTGCGTGAGTTTCAAGCTGCTGGAACTCAAACTGTGGTCAGTCACATGGGAGTCCAACCCCTTAACCACCAGCCATCTGCTGACCCCATTATTTTATTATTATTATTATTATTATTATTTGACCAGAAATAGAGAGAAAAGTTTAGAATGTGAAAATGAGAAAGCAAGTCACCAGGTCTGGGACTTGAACAGTAGTTGGCCCTGTGGGAGTCCAGTGTCTCAACCACCACTCCACCTGCCGGCTCCACAGCTGGGAGTTTTATTAAGTGCTGTCTGTATGCCATATGATTGCTGTGCCCCTCGTGAAGCCCCTACAACATAAAACTAAGCCTAAGAGCTTGTCCAAAGTCACAAAGCCAGGATGTGAGACCTGGCATTCAGGCCCAGGACCACAGAGAACTTCTGAACCCATCCTTGCACCTCCTGGGGGGCCCCCGTGCAGACCTAATGCAGGAGCTGGGGCCATGGGAGGGAAAGGTGATAGGACAGGAAGAGGGCAGGTGCCTGCTGTTCCGTGTGCTTTTCTGGCACCTCCTGGGGTCCTTTGCTTTTTCATGGGGTTTTGGCCAACAAAGAACTTTACTTGGCTCCTCTGTGCCATCCCCACACCCATTTTGTGCATAGATTTGTGGCGTGTGCAGGGATAGAAAACTAATCTTCTTAGCTCGAGTAAGACCGAGTTACAGATGGGGGACTCAATCTGCCACTGATAGGATTCTGCAAGACATCCCGCCCCTAACCAACAGGAATGGGTAGCCACTCACGCCACCCAGCATGGTGGATGGAACAGACCCTCACTCCCGGTTAGAAGCTCAGATCAGTGCCTGACACTAGCCAGGTGCTCCTGTCTGAGCCCAACTGTGAGTAACATTCATTAAGCACTTACTGTCGCACAGGCCCGATTCAGGATTCTAGGGACATGAGGCTGGAACCACAGTTAACGAGCCTTGAGCATATGCTCTGCACTCAGCCGTGTTCTAAGCACTTTAAGTAGATTATTGTATTTAATCCTTAGGACAAACACATGGGAAAGGCACTTTTATTTCCATTTTGCAGAGAGAGGGAGGAAGTTGCCCCGAATCACACAACCAGGAAGTAGAAGAGGTGGGAGTGAGAACTAGGCCTTAGTCCCTGAGCTTGCATGAGACTGTAAACCATGTATCTAATGATTTATAACGCAAGAGTATGGATGTTAGCATGTTCTACATGTGCGAGCTTAGCATGTAAATTCATATACCTGCCTCTAGAGGTAGAGGGCGTTGAAGGTGTGTGTGCACACAGGGTAAGCTGAACTGAAGCACTCCTGTGCTAAGGACTGTAGGACCTTATGTCTAAGAGGATCTCCAGCCATTGTTCCTGTTTCTGGCATGGTTGCTAAGAGGCCTGCCCAGTGTTTGGAAAGAGCCTGGACCTTGGGTGGAAGACGGGGTATACCCAAGGTCCCCGGGAGCAGCGCTCACCCTCACCTCTCCCCTCTCTGCCTCTCCAGCTCTGATTGTGGGCGGCGTCGTGGGCCTCCTCTTTGCCACTTTCCTGGTCCTGCTGCTGGTGTACCGCATGAAGAAGAAGGACGAAGGCAGCTATGATCTGGGCAAGAAGCCCATCTACAAGAAGGCCCCCACCAATGAGTTCTACGCCTGAAGCTTCCTCGTGGGCACTGGCTTGGACTTCAGAGGAGAGGGAAGCCCAAAGGGCCTTGAAGAATAGACATGAAGGTCAGGGAGGGCAGCCTCATGCTGACTTGTCTGTGTCTCCAGCTCCAATTCCTTTTCAATGTCAGAAGAGACAGCATCTCCTACTGTTCTGCCTGGCTTTTCTTGATTCTTTGGGCTTCAGTTGCCCTGGTGGAAAACTGAGGTTAAACTTGGCCTTGTCCAAGGCCAGCCCAGGATTGGATCATTTCTTTTTCCTTTTTTTTTTTTTGAGAGATTTTCGCTATAGGGCGCGTGTGCTCACCAGACAGACAGAGAGAGACATAGAGACAGAAAGCAAGAAATCACCCCCCAGGGGGGATGGTCACGCCGCAATCCCTTCTCCTCCATTCTCCTCTCGGGATCTTGGGCACGCACGCACATGCGCCCAGCGTGAGTTCTAAGCCACCGGGTCCGGGACGTGAACCGCGGTCGACTACGTGGGAGTCCAGCGACATAGCCATTACGCTAACTGCTGGTTCCCAGGATTGGATCATTTCTTCAACTTCTGGTTTAGAAGCTAAGACTAGCCTTGAGCCTGTGCTGGGCCTGCCTTATCCAGAGCCCCTCTGGAGTAGGGGCTGGAGGGTTTTGAGTGAGTCCTGGCTGGAAGTCTGGTTAGCGGCCTTCCTTTCTCTTCTTCATAGCCTGCCCCTCTGCCAGGAACTCAGAGGAAGAATTAGAACCATCTGCGACGTGTCCATCAGTGGCAGCGGGTACTTGCAACCATGCTACAGGAGTCTCTGTGGTATACCTTGGGCCATTCTAGGCTCTTCCAGGTGGCTTTCGGAAATCGATCGATCTTTTTTATTTGGGGAGGGGAAGGAGGGAGAAGACCTGAACATTCATGCTGAAGTGGATTTGTGGAACATTTGTAAATGTATTTTTTAGTGTTTTTTCCCCCTAGTGGTTCATTCCTTTTGTGCAGAGTGTGTCTCTGCCTGGGCAAGAGTGAGACGCCAAGATGTTCTTCACACTCTCACACCTTTCCACAGCACCTGCTAAGTTCATATTTAATGGTGTCTTTGTTTTTTGTTTGTTTCTAAAAATGAGAGGCGACACATAGATTATTAATTTTTTTTTTTTTTTTTTTTTTTACTATTTATAGCTTCAGACAGGGCCCTGTCTGCCTTCTTTCCCTTTTCCTCTCTTTAAACTCCCTCCTTTTTTTTCTTCTTAATGCTTCACCCTCCCCTGCTCATGATCCTGGCCCTTTCTGAAGCTGCTTCTTCTAAGAAGTAGCTTTTGCTGAGACACAGTTTTCTAGCAGATCTCAAAATACCATGAAGGGGACGGTGGGATATTTGTGTCTATGTTCTTGTAATATATTATTATTTTTCCTTGGTTCTAGAAAAATAGATAAATATATTTTTTCAGGAAATAATGTGATATCCAGTTTGATGTTGGCTGGGTGGTCGAGTGAGTGCAGTTTTGTGTGACTGGGTGAGCTTCTGCCTCTTTTTCTTGCCCCGTTCCTGGTGCCTTCCGATTGGGCTGGAGATGAGGGTGGACGGTTCTGCCCTCTTTCTGCCTTCTGTCTAGAGCCAGCTGGTGGCTGTTTAAGTCAGTTCAAATTACAAGTTAAATGTCCTTTCCTCTTTTGCACTGACCACATTCCGAGTGCCTGGTCACCACACGTGGCTCACAGGGCGGCAGCATTTCCAGCCCTTGGACAGTGCTGCTCTAGAGACTAAACTGGCCTGACGAATCAGTCTCCGCTTTGCTGGGGGACCCTTGTTTCCCTGGGCAAGAGGATGGAGGTGGAGAAGAGCTGAAGTGGTCCTGGCCCAGATCCCGTTATCTGGGACCCTCTCTCTCCAGAGAGAAAGGGCCTGGTGACTTGGCTTGGGCAGGCCATGTCTTCTCCTGACCCCACTGGCTGGGGTGGGGGGTGTCACCCTCCCTGCTCCACCCAGTTATTAGCTCCCACCTCCACCCCGACCCAGGTGCCCAGCTGGCTGGGTCCCCCGCGGCCCCTCAGTGCCCTTTTCTGGGCTGTGTTGGAGTAAGCACCTCTTCCCTCACCACCTCTCACACTGTTGTCTGTTACTGATTTTTTTGATAAAAAATAATAAAACCTGGTACTTTCTAGATCACCTGCCTCTGTTACTTGTAAGTTTGTGACAAGTCATCTTTTCTGGGCTCCGGACTCCTTGATCTTCGTGTAGTGTGAGGAAATTCTCCCTTAGTGGCTCCCCGAGACAGGGCAGAGATGTGAGGAGCCAGCGGAGGGCCGAGAGAGCAGGGAAGACACCAGGACATGCCCCCTCGGGCCTATGAAGTACACTGTTGACTCTCATTAAGGCACCACCGTGTTTTTAAAAAAGCACAGAGAGGGGCCAAGAAGTGGTGTGGTTGTGAAGGTGCTGGACTCCCACATGGCTAACTGCAGTTTGAATCCTGGCAGCCTAAAAATCACACTGGGCATGTGTGCATGTGTGTTCAAAATCTCAGGAGGAGAAGGGATTGTGGCGTGGCCATTCTCCCTGGGGTGGGGGGTAATTTTTCATTTTATCTCTCACTGACTATGTCTCCCTGGCGAGCACATGCTCCCTCTGGCAACCTTAAAAAACAAAAACAAAAACCACACAGTTTGAATCCTGGCAGCCTAAAAATCACACTGGGCATGTGTGCATGTGTGTTCAAAATCTCAGGAGGAGAAGGGATTGTGGCGTGGCCATTCTCCCTGGGGTGGGGGGTAATTTTTCATTTTATCTCTCACTGACTATGTCTCCCTGGCGAGCACATGCTCCCTCTGGCAACCTTAAAAAACAAAAACAAAAACCACATCCACACTCACAAAAGCCCTTGAATTTGGCCCAGCTTGTGGTGTGAAGGTTAAGGCAGCTCTCTGGCAACCTTAAAAAACAAAAACAAAAACAAAAACCACGTCCACACTCACAAAAGCCCTTGAATTTGGCCCAGCTTGTGGTGTGAAGGTTAAGGCAGCTGGATCCCATGTGGCTGACGGCAGTTCGAGCCCCAGACCCGGCAGCTTGAAAACATGCCAGGTGTACATGCATGCATGCCCAAGATCCCAAGAGGGGAATGGAGGAGAGGGAGTTGCAGTGTGACCATTCTCCAGGGGGTGCTTTTTCACTCTCCCCCAGCTGCCCTGTACATGCCCTAGAGCCAATACTATAAATAAGTTAAAAACTAAGAATTTTAGTTGCCTCTAGAGATCAGGCTGTTTCTCATAAAAGCCTGAATTCTTCACTTTTCTCAAGGAGAAAATTCATGATTTGGCAACAGTCTGCGTGGCAAGTAGGGTTGTTAAGAGCTAGGCGACCACCTAGAGGTGACCTCTGCTGGGCCCCAGTGTCCGCCTGCTTTACCCAGGTCACCTGCATGGCCTCTGCAAGTTCTATAGGTGGCAGGATCTGGAAGTATCACTGACAACCTCTCTCGATCCTCATAACAACCACTGAGGTAAGAGCCTTCCTACCAAGGGAGTAACCTGCCCGTAGCTTGTCCACGCTGAGATGAACCTCCATTCTAGTCTTCGGTGTGGGCAGTCTTCCCTTAGCACCATGTTGCCCATGCCTCACTGGGGTGGGCAGAAGGATGCAAACAGGAATTGGTAGTAGTTGGAGCAACCCTCACATCACACAGTGTAGGAATCCATTCTTTCTGTGCACATGATGGAGAGAGACAGAAATAGAAGGAAAGTGAGAAATCATCCCCTGGGGGACGGCTATGTCACCATCCCCTCTCCATTCTTCTCTTGGGATTTTGGGCATGCACACACACATGCCCAACATATCTTTCAAGTCACTCGGTTCAGGACTCGAACTGTGGCCATGTGAGAGCCAGCGTCTCAACCACCACACACCTGCTGGCCTGCAGGAACCCATTCTTAGTGCTTTACATGTGAACCTACTTAATCATTACCACAACTCCATAAAGTAGGTGCTGTTAGTATCCCCATTTTACAGATGGGGAAACTATCTAAGAGGTTAAGTAATTTGCCCAAAGTTACACAGCTTACCAGTGGTAAAGGTGGGATTTGAACTCAGGAAGTCAGGCTCTGAAGTCTGCTCACAATCACACCACCTGTCAGGAGGTCTGTGTCACCCAGGACCCCTTCACTGGGTGTTGCTCAGTCCCTACAAATCTCTGAAATGGTGAGCCTAACAAATCCCATGTTACTCCTCTCTCTCTCAAAACTCTGCTATACTGTTTGAGTCCCACAGAGCGTGAGTGGGTCTCTAGTCCTTGTAACGTGTCTTCCAGAAGGTCCTCACTTCCGTTAGATCGGCAGGGTCTAATACAGTAGCTACTAACCATTCTGTTTACATTTAAATTAATTAAAATTTAAAAAATAAAAATTGAGTTCCTCAGTTGCACTTGTCTCATTTTCTTTCTTTCTTCTTCTTCTCCTTCTTCTTCTTTTATCTTTTTAAAAATTTTGTAGAGGGTTTTGCCTTAGGGCGCATGCACTCACTGGAGAGAAAGAGAGACAATAAGAGAGAAACTGAGAAATCACCGTGGAGGGTTGGGGGGATGGTCACGCTGCAATCCCTTCTCCTCCATTCTCCCCCTGGGATCCTCAGCACACATGCACATGTGCCCCAAGTGAGTTTTGAAACACGAGTCCAGGACTCGAACCACAGTCAACCAAGTGGGAGTCCAGCAGTGTAACCACTACACCCGCTGCTGACCTTCCACTAGCCTCATCTGAGCTCGGTGTGGCTACTGGCTACGATGCTAGGCAGTGCAGATACAGAATGTGTCCCTGAAGAAATTTCTGTCCGACAGGGCTGTGATGGGATGAGACTGGGCAGGATCCCTGAGTTCAAATTTCAGCTTTCACCAGCTGTTAAATTGTGCTCCAGCAGCCGACAGGAAGGCAGGCAGCGTCTGTTACTCAGTAAGTGGCATCTCACATCAGTGTCATCTTTTAGATAAGGTGCAGGCTCCAGAAGGCACGTGTAAAATTACTCAAACTCAGGGGCGTATAACAGTATAAATATCACATGTAGTTTCTGTGGGCCAGGGATTTGGGGAAAGCTTAGCTGGGGGCTTCTGGTTCAGCATTACATGAGTCCCAAGTTGACGGGTCATTTGAAAGCTTGGTGAAGGCTGGAAGATCCCATTTCAAGATGGCT